TAGGCAAGAGTGGAGGTTCATTGTAATATCCCTTGTCCCCAAAGATAAATGGGGATAGTTTATACAAGGTTCAGTGATTAAAACTTCCTTAAACTCACTTCTACTATAATGCAATCAAGGTAGAATGAATAGAACAATGAGGCTGTGTCTACATTGGCACCCCTTTCCGGAAAAGGGTTGCTAATGAGACCAGTCGGAACTGCAAATGCCGCGGGGGATTTAAATATCCCCCGCAGCATTTGCATGGACATGGCTGCCACTTTTTTCCGGCTCGGGGTTTTGTCGTAGAAAAGTGCCAGTCTAGACAGTATCTTGCGGAAAATAAACCCTTTCCCGGAAGATCCCTTATTCCTACTTTATTCCTTGAAATTCGGAATTTGCAATTCCGAAGTGTCTCATTAGCATCCCTTTTACGGAAAAGGGTGCCAGTGTAGACACAGCCTGAAAGTATATAATAGATTAGGCCCTGGTCTTATATATACAAACTATTAATATTATAGTTGTAAAAAAAGAAAGTGAATGTTTTATCCTATTTTCATCAAAATTTAGATACCATTATCTCAATTTGGTATCTCATATTTTTGCTGAACTCTAGTGCAAATAGTTATGCTATGCAAAATATATTAATATTTTCCTCGTCATCGCTCTCCTCTTCGGACCCTGTTTGTATCTCCCTCTTGTTGTGTCCTCTAAGATGGCAGGTTCTTTGGCTTATAAACTGTATGTTAAACTGTGTGTTAATACAACACCTAGCACAAGGATACAGTCTGATGTACACATCTCCGTGATCCTGAATTCCCCGCAAAATTTAAAAAAACAGTTATTCATGCAGTTCTACATGTGTCCTTCATCTGAGTGCCTCAAAAGTATTAATAAATGTACTCTAGCACTACCTCTGCATGTGTTACTTTACAGTTAAAAATGCTAGCTAGAAAATGTTGATTTTATTTTTGTCTAATTATGAGAAAATGGGATTTGCTCAGATTAAGGTCAATAGTGTTTTTTACACTCAGCCATATTGCAATTTACTTGTTCTCACTTCACAGTAAGTCATTACTAATTTTGCCTTTTCTTCATGACATAAGTGTCTTGTAGTAGCAACAGATTACAAAGTTTTGAGCTGTATTTTTAAGTATTTTGAACATTCCTTTTTTCTCCCACTAGTTTTCCTTTAAGGTTCAGATTAATTTTATACATCAAACTTTCCATTTACTCATGGAAAAGAGGTGAGAGGGGAAAAACAGTCTGAACAAACAGACCTGAGGTCTGTTTTCTCATTGTATAAATACTGAGCATTTTTCCAAAAACTTGCTTCTCATGACACGTATCTTAGCATTTTACATTCTTTTTGTATCAGCTATTCCTTTCATTGTAATTCTCCTATATTTAAATTTTACTTGTTAAATGTTTAACTAATATTTACTTGATAGTGAAAACTAATTACATAGTGTGATTCTTTCACATTAGTCATATGTAGAACTATGTGACAATATATATTGTGGGAATTACTCTGTTTCCATTTATTATGTACAAGTTTTAACTTCCTAATTTTTCATTATTGAAAATCAGCTGATAAATGGTGTGATGGATTGCATCCGGGCACGAGCTCTCACCCTTCCCCCCCCCCCGGGTGAGGCCCAGCGTGCCCACCATCTTAAAGACCCGGGGTCTGATGGCTAGATGGGCGTGAGCTCCCAACTCCCCTCCATCCGGGTTGAGTGGGGCCCAGAGAGCCCTGCGTCCAATGAACCCCGTGGCCCTTCAACCCCGCCACCCCGGGGGCCAGCTGTCTGTAATTACTTCCCACTGGGGTGACTGCCCCTAACGAGTTTCCCAAGTTTGCTCATGCAGTTGCTATGCGAGGTAATGGGGTGGGGGCTAGGCGGACCCTGGCCTACCCTCTCCACTGGGTCCCAGCCCGGGGCCCTAAGGAGTTCAAGTCCTACCCTTACCCAGTTGACGGGGTTCCACCCCATAACACATCAGCCCACGGGTGCCAAAAGCGCTCTGCCCCGGGCTGCTTCCTAGCCTCCCTCGGTCTTAAGGCCTCTTGCCCCGGTGCCCAGGGACCTACAGCTCTGACAGGATCCCCGGGCTCCTTGTCGCTGTTCACCGGGTCCCGGTGCTCCTGCTTCAAATGCGGGGGGAGGAACTGCTGCCGCACGGTCCTCCCTCCCCTCCTGCTCATCAGACGCTTTTTAAAGTCCCTGCCGGGGAGTGTTCCACCCTCTTCTGCCCCGTTGGATCCCCGGGGGCAGGGCTGCATCACAACATGCCAAGAGGGAGGGGCGACCATCCACCTCTCACTGCCAGCCAGCGTATCCTCCCGGCACTGTTTTGCTCTGTGTAATGCAGGGGCTGGCGGGGCTGGTGTTACACCTTCTCGCCACTCCCTTCCCTCCCCCGCCAGAGAAGGCCGGCATCTCGCCGCATCTAGTGTGGGCCGCGGCTGGCCTGTCACAAATGGTTTGTCAAAAACATTTCACCTAATTGATTCTGAACCATTCAATATAGGCACAAATCTATCTGTGTAAATGACCCTAATATTGAAGTCAGTGGAAGTTACATTGTTTTATACCAGCTGAAGATTTGGCCCCATGACTATTCCTTAGTAATATTTTTTGCAGTTCATAAATTGCTCATTCAGCTGCGGGGCTGGTAATTTAAATCAGAATGACTCTGTACTCTGATGTAATGACTTTCCAACTTATGTCAAATGGCAGTATAAACTTTTTTTAAGCAAATACTCCACTTTGCATTTGTATCTATCACACTGTGCAGATCTTTTCAGGAATAAATAATTGCTCAGATAATAAGTAATTATTATTCCTACTAATTTAGGAATAAGTAATTGTTAAAATATTGAACTGACTTAGTAGATTTTATTTCATTAAGGCTATGTCAACACAGCAACGTTATTTTGAAATCACTAGCATTATTTCAAAATAACACAGTCCATGTCTACACAGCCAGCAATTCATAGAATCATAGAATCATAGGACTGGAAGGGACCTCGAGAGGTCATCGAGTCCAGCCCCCCACCCTCAAGGCAGGACCAACCTCCATCTACACCATCCCTGACAGATGTCTATCTAACCTGTTCTTAATTATCTCCAGAGAGGGAGATTTCACCACCTCCCTTGGCAATTTATTCTAATATTTGACCACCCTGACAGTTAGGAATATTTTCCTAATGTCCAATCTAAACCTCCCTTGCTGCACTTTCAGCCCATTACTCCTTGTCCTGTCCTCAGAAACCAAGAGTTTCCAATTTCCAGTTTATATTGGAAAACTGTAATCACCACAACTTGATTGTTTTTTTTCTATTGCCTTCTCATATCATCATAAAGGCACACTACTCTTTCCTCTTTACTGTCCATACTATCCATGAATAGGTTGCCCTTTTACCCTAGTGCCTATACGGCTACCTCTCTGATCTAGCACCTGTGGAACCTAACTGTTTCCAGACAAGGAAGTTTGCCAGACCAGAGGATTTTGTGTGGGAGTAGGGAGCACCAAACTTCCCTCTAGCTTCCCCTCCCCAGACATTGGGCACCACTGCCCCCAACCCCATGGCACTGGCAACCACATTGTCTGTGGGCCCCAGCTGGCCTCACTGACTCTGTGGGCTCTGCTGTCCTGCAAACTGTGCTGCCTTGTGGCCCACAAGCTCTACTGTCCTGTTGGCCCCACCAGGACCACAGATGTTGCTACACCAGAGTGTCCCAGATTACATAGATTAAGTCTATAAATTGTACATAAACGTGGCATGATGTGATATTTCACACTGGTAATTGGGCAGTTGTATTTTTCTACTAGAGCTAATATCAAATGGTTTCTTCTTTAATTCTTTCATATTTTATGGAGTTTAACATTTTTCTTAGAGCGCCTTTTAGGATGCATAATAGACACAGTGCCACTTGGAAGTTGTTTTTAAACTAGGACTGAATTTGCCTGTCTATATGTAATTTTTAATTTTAACACCTTTACAAAGCATGTCAGAATTGTCATTAAACTTTACAGCCAAGTTTGAATATAAAATAGACTCATCCACCTTTTCTATGTTGATGGTTAAGACAATGCATGATATTTCAGTGATCTATCCACAATATTATTTAATAGCATATCAGAATCCTACATTTGAATGCTCTATAATTTTATAAATATCAGACCTGATTAAACAAATATTTGCATACTTTTCAGTTAGATGTGCCCCCTCCTTTTTCTGTACCTGTATTGTCTAATCACGAATTTTACTAATCTGAGTGTGGAGGAGTCCTCATAGCCTTGCCTTGACACTTTAGTACAGCTAAGTGAGTTTAGAACTTGTTAAAGTCTTGTGTCCTAGTTTCACTCTGATCTCAGTAATTGAGCCACCTGACAACAAGTATAATTGTTAATAATAGTATGAAAAATATTTCTCCCAATGAGTTTTTATCATCTGTTCATACTTGTTCTTAGTGCTTGATATTCGAAAATTGATATTCATTCTGAGTGAATGACTAGATGACTTTGCAAACCAAACTCCTAATACTATCAATATTAATTATAAAAAGTCAACATGCTCAATTTTACAGAACCTGAACATCTAAGAACAGCTCCATTTCTCTCATTGTATTCAAGTATATCACTCTTATTTACCCATGATCTCTTCAGAGACAGCAGACCTGATGTCTTCCATTTTTAATAATTTTTTTGTGGTATTGGAGCTTCTCTCTTGCCTGGTTGTCATTAGCACAAACCTATCACTAAACCAATAATATAGCTTTAGTGGTTGCCAGTTTTTGGTCTTTACTGTATGTGCCAAAATATGTTTTTATTTATCTTCTACAAATACAAAAACATTTACAGGAGTGGGGTATAAAAATTATCTGGAGGCTGATACATCTTAAGGAAAAATACGACCAGAGACAGCTAAATAAAAATAACTGAAAACCCAATTATAGCCCCAAGTATGAAAAAAAATTGAGAGAAGAAGGTGAAAGTGTACTTAAACAGACCTGCCTTTGTCCTTAACTTGATCTCTATGTTTGTAGATATTGCAAGTTCACCTGCAGTCTCTCCCTCTCTTCTGCTGCAGCTCTGATTAAGGACTATATATCCTCCTGTCTTGTAAAACGTGTTTAAGGCTCTGTACACTTTGAGTGAGCTCCAGGAATCTAGAGAGAGAGAGGAAAGGGAATTGAGTATCCAAATAAAGTAATATTAGGTGAACAGCAAAATAACACTCTTGTAAATAAAGCTGTAGTATTGTCATATTATATTGTGGCCCTTCATCACTTTAAGCCAATACTTCCTGTTGCATCTGCTTCCTATGGAAACAATGGTTTCTGGTTGAACTGGCTTAAAGAAAAAAATGTATCCATGAACAATATTAAATGTAAAATAAAGACAACCAGTATTATATGCAATAAATTATTAAACCACTTGTGGTTTCTGATTAGCTTAAACAAGATCGGCATGGCATGCAGTCCTATTACAGAGCGATATTTTGGTCAACAGAACACAAAACTCATTTGAATAATTAGGAGTGAAGAGGTTTTGGGGGGGAGGTTGTGTGAGTTTGTTTTTTCATGGAAAAAAAAGCTGAGGAAACCCAAAACAAATATATATGGCTCTTAACTTCGGTACTTAAAGTTATCCTTAGGCAAGGGCAGGTTCTTCCATCTGTTCAGAGATCTTTAGAGCTACTCATCTCTGTCATCAATGGAGTAATACTGATTAGTAAAGTTGGACTCATTTACATTTTTGGCCTTTTATAGCTTCAAAACCTTACATATTGCTCTTGATCCAGGAATTCTGGTTTGAGGAGGAAGTGTACAAAGATGTGAAAAAAAATCAGTGCTGGAAAATGAGTGAGTAAACCAAGCAAAAACACTCAGTTCAGTCTTTGTATGTGGCAGGTTATGTTAGCCAACAAGATGGAAAAGAAAAAACGTGGACTTTTACACTTGTCTCCCTCACTTTTTTCATCTACCACTCTCACCACTCTCATTCTTTGAGAAGCCTCTCAAGATTATATTTTTGGGCAATTGTCCATCTTCATTTCCATTCCACCAAGAAGGAGTCAGCTACCTTTACTATGACTGTCTCACAATATGTGTTGGTACAGTGTCTAGCACAAATGCTTCCCAACCTCGGTCTCTAGGTGATGTGAGACTATAAATATTAATAAAAATGTACTTCAAAGGAGTTATATCACCTTAAGTCAGCTGAAGATCTCACCCAAAATGTCTAAGTGACCTTGCATATTTTATTTATTAAACCTATTAAAAACATTGATGAAATGTCAAGGTTGTTACAAAGTTTACTAAACAAAGAAACACATTCATACCTAAGTTTTATTACTATAGTTTAAAGGATTTTTTTGAAGGATGTATTTGTGAATAATCAAAACCATAATATTAGAACCCTGTATATGTTGCACTCTAAATAAGAGTAGAAAAGGAAGCATAGAATCAGCAAGGATAATGGACAAGTGCTATAATTTTCAAGTGTGGAAGACTATTTCTATATTCAACCATGTTTTAATGCTATTAATATTTGTCAAAATGAAATTTTGGAGTCACCTTAACAATGTTCTGTTCCTTTGCCTGAATTTTATTTATTTCATTAATTGCTAATATTTGCACAGCTCTGTTTTTCCTATTCTAGTCATAAAATATCACCAAGATTTTATTAATGTTGAATTGAAAATGTGTTTTAAATTAAATTACCTCTAATTATGCATTCCACTGTTGACCATGACCTCAGAGGAATGGAGGAAGACATCATTCCAGTTTTCCCCATGCTACAGTAATCTTGCTCTAACCATGTTAATTGTTATTATCTGAAGTATCCATTTATTCTTTCTGTGCATATTTTACTTAACCATGAATAAGTAAAGACCACTCTTTGGACTGTCCATAATTGGAGATACTTAAGAAAAGGTTAGATAAACATCTGTTAGGGATGATCTAGATGGTGCTAGGTCTGGCCTTGATGACCTCTCAAGGTCCCTTCCAGTTCTAGAATTACAGTTCAGAGAATCTGTCATTCATGCTTAAATTCGACACTTTACGCCTAAGTTTAAACAAAGACATTAATTATCTTTCCCATTACAAAGATAGCTTCCCCAATTATCACCGCTAATATCATTAGCTCACAGACATTTAACTCCCCCCCCCCATCCCCTTTCTGTTCTGAAATTTGATTTGTCCTTTTCTTTCGTGTTCATTTTTTTTAATTGTATCCTTTGGTATATATGGTTGTGACAATTTTCTTCCACTGTTTGATCTGAGGAAGTGGGTCTGGCCCACGAAAGCTCATCAGCTAATAAACCATCTTGTTAGTCTGTAAAGTGCTACATAGTCCTGTTTTTTGTTTCAGCTACACCAGACTAACACAGCTACATTTCTATCACTAGTTTAGGTACATAATTTGGAACTTCTGAGTGAGAAAAAATAAACAGGCAATGTATTCGTACCAGATTTCAGTTCTCTTAGTCAGTTATCCTAACAGCGTGCTCTGTATTTTTTAATCTTTGTCACAGAACAGCTGGTGCTATCTTCTCTTATCATTGTAAAGAATATCAACATATTTTAAGATAGACAAATATGTTTAAATTTTGCTATTTGGCATGTCAAAAATCCAGGCCTTTTTGGCATAGCTACTGCTAAGCATGAGTAGCACCTGAGCACTAATGAAGTGGTAATTAAGAATTGCCACATAGAAGTCTATCAAGGTTTTCATATGTGAGCTTACCATATGCTCTAGGTCTGATTTGCTACTAGGGAGAAATTAAGATAGGTCAAAGTGAAAATATCGGATAACCCTTTGTGCCTCTGGGTATCCTGACATTGGAAAATACCTGCTGTCCTGTAATTGTGGCTATTCTAATTTGATGAGATTGCCATATGCTACTATTTCATTCCTAAAAGCAATATATCATCTCAAGAAACCAGATTTTGGAAATTCACAGTAATAGACAATCAGAACTGACTGGTAATATGATCCAGGAACAAGCCACAATCACAGCTGAGGCACAGATAATCTGAGCCCTTGCTAGTACCCTCGGGCCAATAACAACTCTATAGAAGACAGTCAGTGGCAGACAGGAATTGAGGCCAGGATTCCTATATCCAGAACCAGCCTTACCTCAGTTCCTGGAAAAATCATGGAAGGGATCCTCAAGGAATCCATTTTGAGGCACTTGGAAGAGGGGAAAGAGATCAGGAATAGTCAACATGGATTCACGAAGGGCAAGTCATGCCTGACCAATCTGATTAGCTTCTATGATGAGGAAACTGGCCCTGTGGATATGGGAAAGTCAGTGGATGTGATATACCTTGACTTTAGCAAAGGTTTTGATACTGTCTCCCACAATAATCTTGCCAGCAAGTTAAGGGAGTATGGATTGGATAAATGGACTGTAAAATGGATAGAAAGCTGGCTAGACTGTCGGGCCCAAGGGGTAAAGATCAATGGCTTGATGTTAGGTTGGCTGTCGATTTCTAGCAGAGTGCCCCAACGATCTGTTCTAGGACTGGTTTTGTTCAACATTTTTATTAATGACCTAGATGAGGGGATGGATGGCACCCTCAGCAAGTTTGCAGATAACACTAAGGGTGTGTCTAGACTACAGCGCTTTTTTTAAAAAAAGGCCTTTTTCGAAAAAAACTTCCCCTGAATCTCGACTACTGCCGCTTTCTTTCAAAAGTGAATCGAAAGAACACGGCAGTTTTTTCAACTGCAGAAAACCTCGTTTTATGAGAAAGAATGCCTTTTTTCAAAAGTGCTCTTTCAAAAAAAGGTGCTATGTAATGCAAACCGTGCTTTTTCTAAACAGAGCATCCAGACTGCCTGGGTGCTTTCTTTTGAAAAAGCGGCTTGCTTTTTCAAAAGTACTGATTGTAGCCTAGACGCTCTTTTTCGAAAGAGGCTTGCAGTTTAGACATAGCCTAAGCTAGGGGGAGAAGTAGATATGCTGGAGGGCAGGGATAGGGTCCAGAGTGACCTAGACAGATTAGAGAATTGGGCCAAAAGAAATATGATGAGGTTCAACAAGGACAAGTGTAGAGTCCTGCACTTGGGATGAAAGAATCCCAAGCATTGTTACAGTCTGGGGACTGAATGGCTAAGTAGCAGTTCTACAGAAAAGGACCTGGGGATTACTGTGGATGAGAAGCTGGATATGAGTCAACAGTGTGCCCTTGTAGACAAGAAGGCAAATGGCATATTAGGGTGCATTAGGAGGAGCATTACCAGCAGATGTAGAGAAGTGATTATTCGCCTTTCTTCAGCTGTGGTGAGGCCACACCGGGAGTATTGTGTCCAGTTCTGGGCCCCTGACTATAGAAAGTATGTGGACACATTGAAGGGGGTCCAGCAGAGGGTGTCCAAAATTATTAGGGGGGTGGAGCGCATGACCTATGAGAGGAGACTGAGAGATTTGGGTTTATTTAGTCTTCAGAAGAGAAGAGTGAGGGGTAATTTGATAGCAGCCTTCAACTTCCTGAAGGTAGGTTCCAAAGAGGATGGAGAAAGACTGTTCATAGTAGTGATGGATGGCAGAACTAGGAGCAATGGTCTCAAGTTACAGTGGGAGAGGTCTAGGTTGGACATTAGGAAAAACTATTTCACTAGGAGGGTGGTGAAGTACTGGAATGGGTTACCTAGGGAGGTGGTGGAATCTCCATCCCTAGAGGTTTTTAAGTCTCAGCTTGACAAAGCCCTGGCTGGGTTGATTTAGTTGGATTTGGTCGTGCCTTGGGCAGGGGGCTGGACTTGATGACCTCTTCAATGTCTCTTCCAGCGTTATGATTCTATGTTTCTAAGATTGGATA